CATAGCAGAGAGCTGGATTGGAAGTGGAGCAGCTGGGTCTCGAAACCGCACCCATACGGAATGCCAGTGCCTCAGGCCAGGGCATTAACCCACTGTGCCACAGCGCCAGCCCCTCTACCAGACATTGAAAGAAGAACTAACTATATTCTCTCAATCTATACAAAATAATTGATAGGGAGGGAATTCTCCCAAATTCTTTCTACAAAGCCAGCATCACTTTAATTCCTAAAACCGAAAAAGATGCAGCAAAGAAAGTGAATTACAGACCAGTTTCCCTGATGAACTTAGACACAAGAATCCTCAAATTCTAGCCAATAGAATCCAACAGCACATCAGAAAGATCATCCACCCAGACCAAGTGGGATTTATCTCTGGTATGCAGGGATAGTTCTGCATTCACCAATTAATCAATGTGATACAACACATTAACAAGCTGCAGGAGAAAAACCATATGATTGTCTCAGTAGATGCAGAGAAAGCATTTTACAAAATACAACACCTTTTCATGATGAAAACTCTAAGCAAATTGGGAATAGAAGGAACATTACTCAATGCAATCAAGGCAATTTATGACAAACCCATGGACAGCATCATATTGAATGGAGAAAAGTTGGAAGCATTCCCAATGAGATCTGGTACCAGACAAGGATGCCCCCTCTCACCATTGCTATTCAGTATAGTACTGGAAATACTAGCCAGAGTCATTAGGCAAGAAAAAGAAATTAAAGGGATACAAATTGGGAAAGAAGAAATCAAATTATTCTTATGTGCAGATTAGATGATTCCTTATTTAGGGGATCCAAAGAGCTCCACTAAGAGACTATTGGAAATCATAGGAGAGATTGGTAAAGTAGCAAGATATAAAATCAATACACAAAATTCAACAGCCTTTATATACATAGACAATGCCACAACCCACAACTGAGAAAGAACTTCTTTTTTTTTTTTTTTACTAATAACATTTTATTTTTTTTTAAACTTTTATTTAATGAATATAAATTTCCAAAGTACAGCTTATGGATTACAATGGCTTCCCCCCCATAACGTGCCTCCCACCCGCAACCCTCCCCTTTCCCACTCCCTCTCCCCTTCCATTCACATCAAGATTCATTTTCGTTTCTCTTTCTATACAGAAGATCAGTTTAGCATACATTAAGTAAAGATTTCAACAGTTTGCTCCCACACAGAAACATAAAGTGAAAAATACTGTTTGAGTACTGGTTATAGCATTAAATCTCAATGTACAGCACACTAAGGACAGAGATCCTACATGAGGAGTAAGTGCACAGTGACTCCTGTTGTTGACTTAACAAATTGACACTCTTGTTGATGGCATCAGTAATCACCCTAGGCTCTTGTCATGAGCTGCCAAGGCTATGGAAGCCCCCTGAATTCACTGACTATGATAATTTTTAGACAAGGCCATGGTCAAAGTGGAAGTTCTTTCCTCCCTTCAGAGAAAGCTACCTCCTTCTTTGATGACCCATTCTTTCCACTGGGATCTCACTCGTGGAGATCTTTCATTTAGGTTTTTTTGTTCCCCCAGAGTGTCTTGGCTTTCCATGCCTGAAATACTCTCATGGGCTTTTCAGCCGGATCCGCGTGACTTAAGGGCTGATTATGAGGCCAGAGTGCTGTTCAGGACATCTGCCATTCTATGGGTCTTCTGTGTATCTCACTTCCCATGTTGGATCATTCTCTCCCTTTTTGATTCTATCAGCTAGTATTTGCAGACACTATTCTTGTTTATGTGGTCCCTTTGGTTCTTAGTCCTATCATTATGATCAATTGTGAACAGAAATAGATCACTGGGACTAGTAAGATGGCATTGGTACATGCCACCTTGATGGGATTGAATTGGAATCCCCTGGTATGTTTCTAACTCTACCGTTTGAGCTAAGTCAGCTTGAGCATGTCCCGAATTGTACATCTCTTCCCTCTCTTATTCCCACTCTTATATTTAACAGTGATCACTTTTCAGTTAAATTTCAGCACTTAAGAAGAATTGTGTATTGATTACAGTATTCAACCCAAAGTATTAAGTAGAACAAACAAAAAAAAATACTAAGAGGGATAACATATCAAGAAAGAACTTCTAAGATCAATCCCATTCATAATAGATACAAAAAAAATTGATTACCTTAGAATAAACTTAACCAAGGATGTCAGTGATCTCTCTGATGAGAATTACAAAACTTAAAGAAATAGGGGAAGAGAACAATAAATGGAAAAATCAAACATGCTCATCGATTGGAAAAATCAGTATCATCAAAATGTCCATTCTTCCAAAAGCAATTTACAGATTCAATGAAATACCAATCAAAAAAACCAAAGCCGTTCTTCTCAGATCTAGATAAAATGATGCTGAAATTCATATGGAAAACAGGAGACACTGAATAACTACAGCAACCTTATACAACAAAAACAAAGCCGGAGGCATCATAATACAGATTTCAAGACAAACTACAGGGTAGTTGTAATCAAAACAGCTTGGTACTGGTATAAAAACAGATGGATAGGCCAATGGAAAAGAATAGAAACACCAGAAATCGATACAAGCATCTACAATCAGCTTAACTTTGACAAAGTAGCTAAAATCAATTTCTAGAGCAAGGACAGTCTTATCAACAAATGGTGCTGGGAAAACTGGATTTCCATATGCAGAAATATGAACCAAGACCCCTCCCTTATACCTTACATAATAATCTACTCAACATGGATTAAAGATCTAAATCTGCCACCTGACACCATCAAATTATTAGAGAACATCTGGAGAAACCCTGCAAGATATTGACACAGGTAAAGACCTCTTGGAAAAGGCCCCAGAGGAACAGGCAGCCAAAGGCAAAATTAACAGTTGGGATAACATCACATTGAGAGGTTTCTGTACTGCAAAAGAAACAGCAAAGTGAAGATGCAACCAGCAGAATGGGAGAAAATATTAGCAAGTACCCCAACTGATAAATGATTAATAACCAAAATCTACAAAAAGATCAAGAAACTCCACAGCAACAAAACAAACAACTCACTTAAGAGATGAGCCAACGACCTAAACAGACATTTTTCTGAGAGGAAAACCAAATGGCCAATAAACATATGAAAAAATGTTCAGGAAGACTAGCCATCAGAAAAATGCAAATCAAAACTATGTTGAGGTTTCACCTCACCCTGTTTAGAATGGCTTTTATATAAAAATCAACAAACAACAGATACTGGTGAGAATGTTAGGAAAAAGGCACACTAATTCACTGTTGGTCAGAATGCAAACTGGCAAAGCCACTATGGAAGACAGTTTGGAGACACCACAGAAATCTGAATATAGCCCTACCATACGACCCAGCCATCCCACTCTGGAATTTATCCAAGGGAGATTAAACTGGCAAATAAAATATCTATCTGCACCTCAATGTTTATTGCAACTCAATTTGCAATAGCTAAGACATGGAATCATCCTAAGTGCTTATCAATGGAAGACTAGATAAAGAAATTATGGGATATGTACTCTATGGAACACTACACAGCAGTAAAAAAAAAAATGAAATCTGGTCAATTGCAACAAAATGGAGGAATCTGGAAAAACAGCGCAGCACGCTGAGTGGAATTAGCCAGTCCCAAAAGGACAAATATCATATGTTCTCCCTGATCTATGACAACTAACTGAGCACTTAGAAAGAAATACTTAACACGGAAGTATTCTTAGGTGTTTAAATCTGGTTGAAATTGATCCCTGTTCAAAATAAAAGCGAGTATAAGAAGGGAGGAGCTGTACAGTTTGGCACATGTTCCCTTGGACTTAACCCTGAGGGTAAAGCTAAAAACTTGCCATGGTACTCCAAATCCTATTAAGTTGGCGGGTACCAATGCCATCTTACTAAAGTGATCAGTTTAAGTTCTAAATAATGTCGGGGTCTGTGGCCTCAAGATGCTTCCATAGCCTTGGCAGCTCATGACAAGAGCCTTGGGTGATCACTGACGTCATAAATAGGACTGTCAATTGTTAAATCAACATTAGTCACTGTGCACTCACTCCCCATTTAGGACCTCTGTCCTTAATGTGTTGTACTATAAGAATTGACAGTAAAACTAATCTTCAAACAGTACTTTATATTTTCTGTGTCTGTGTGTGCAAACTGTTGAACTCTTTACTGAATACAGAGTCAATCTTCTGTGTATAAACATAATTAAAATGAATCTTAATGAAGAATGAGATAGGAGAGGGAGTAGGAGGTGAGATGCTTTGGGGGTGGGAGGCTGGGTATAGGGGGAAGATCCACTATAATCCAAAATTTGTACTTTTGAAATTTATATTTATTAAATAAAAGCTTTCTATAAAAAAGTAATATATCTTATTTATATAAACTACTTGCTGGAGAACACTTGATTCTCAATAATAAGCAGTTTTCTGAAGTATAAATTCAAATGTGTTTATATTTTCCTTATATTCTGAGTTCTTTTTTTTCCAGAGTGAAAAAACACTTTTTTTTTTTTTTTTTTTTTTTTTTCGGACAGGCAGAGTGGATAGTGAGAGAGAGAGACAGAGAGAAAGGTCTTCCTTTGCCGTTGGTTCACCCTCCAATGGCCACCACGGCTGGTGCACTGCAGCCGGCGCACCGCACTGATCCGAAGGCAGGAGCCAGGTGCTTCTCCTGGTCTCCCATGGGGTGCAGGGCCCTAGGACTTGGGCCATCCTCCACTGCCTTCCCGGGCCACAGCAGAGAGCTGGCCTGGAAGAGGGGCAACCAGGAAAGAATCCAGCGCCCCTACCGGAACTAGAGCCCGGTGTGCCGGCGCCGCTAGGTGGAGGATTAGCCTATTGAGCCGCGGCGCCGGCGGAAAAAACACTTCTTAATTAAGAGTTTCTATATAGGAAATCCAACTTCACAGTGAATCTGAATAATCAAAATCAGTCTTTCTTTTAGATTTGTCTAACTAAATCTTTAGTCTTTTCCATTCTGATATTTCTTTGGTGTTTTCATTTATTTCACTTTTTGTCCCTTTAGTTTGAAGCTGCATGGGCATTAACTAACATAGCATCCGGAACTTTTCTACATACCAAAGTAGTGATTGAAACAGGGGCTGTTCCAATTTTTATCAAACTTCTTAATTCAGAACATGAAGATGTTCAGGAACAAGTAAGTTTCTAATTTATACTGTTTTATGAGCTATATTTAAATTTTCAAAGTACCATTTATGATTATATTCCACTTTTGTATCTAATTGCCTGTACTGTGCATTTATTAAAATATAGTAGTTTCTTTGTAGTGCATAATTGTAAGAGCAATGAATTGTCTGAGGCATAATCCTGGATTCCCTGTAAGTGATCTCATCTAGCACAGGAATTACTATTCCTATTTATAAAGCACAGTACTGAGCCACAGAAAAGTTAGTAACATATCCATCATAGGGAATGGCTGAACCAGGTTTTAAACCGGGGCTAAACTGACTCCTTATTCTTTGCATGTATGTGGATTATTTTGTTGTTACTTTTAAAATATCATTTTACTTTTAATAGAACCATTTTCATAAAATTCATGAATAAATTTGTTACGAGGGAAAATTTAGTATTATATAATTGTACTCTTCTAAGAAAATCAAGTATTGGCATTTTTGTTTTAAGCCTTTCTTTTGTTTTGGAAGCCTTTCTTCTGGTGTTATTCTTCCAAGAAAATTTTACTGATTAATTAATAAATCCACTTAGATATGTACCATATTCTATCTAGTCCTCAATTGTTGTACATTTGAGTTATTTTTAACGTCATATTCTTAAGGAAAAGTGATGAACATCATTATTTATCCATCATTATTTATCTTTCTTAATGTGCCTTTATATTGGTTCATTAGGGAAAATGACTACTCTGTCAAAAGATAGAAATTTCTTAAGACTCTTAGTAGCCTCCAAAGTTGACCAACAATATTATTCTAAGTAATGTTCCATCAGCAATCTATTATACTTCATGGGGTAGATAGTATGTTTACTTTAAAGACAAGCTTAGTTCTACTAGAGTAGATGTTAAAAATATTAACTCATGTTTTAAATGTTAAAATTAAAGTTTCTCAGTTGAAGAAATAACATGTATTTTTGTATTTATATAAAATATTTAAGTGAAAATATATTAAAATGATAATTTGCAAAATTTCTTATTTAAGTGAATAATTTGACATTTTGCTGTCATTCGTTTTAAAACATATAGTGAAATCTTAATCCTAAATTTATTTTCAGGATCAATCTAAGCTATTGCCTCATTTTTCTTTGTCTTTATTTACTTTTGTTATTTTACAAAACAGTCCCTTTTTTTTTCTTTTTTTTTTTTTTTAAGATTTAGTTATTTAAAAGTCAGAGTTACACAGAGAGAGAAGGTGAGGCAGAAAGAGAGAGAGAGACATCTTCCATCTGCTGGTTCATTCCCCAATTGGTTGCAATGGCCAGAGCTGCACCGTTTTGAAGCCAGGAGCCAGGAGCTTCTTCTGGGTCTCCCACGCGAGTGCAGGGCCCAAGGACTTGGGCCATCTTCTGCTTTCCCAGGCCATAGGAGAGAGCTGGATTGGAAGCAGAGCAGCTGAGTCTCGAGTGGGCACCCAGATGGGATGCTGGCACTGCAGGCAGTGTCTTTATCCTCTGTGCCACAGTGCTGGCCCCGAAACAGTCTCTTCTAATAAGAGAAGTTCTTGGCAAATTTCTAGTATAAGTAATTGGAAAATTGACCAGATAGATGGTTTTTGTCTCTCTATGTGGATTCAGAGTTGACAAATTTACTTTGTTGAATAGTACTGACATTCCACTGCTTTGGAAGAAAACTTTAAAAATACTCTCACTTCCAATTTCATTAGAAATAATATTAAATTAAATTTTGTAGATTTTCTTTTCTTATTGCCCTGGCTTTTAATTTCATATATTGTTGAAAACTATTGCTTTGTTCATTTTGTATTAAAATTCCCTTCTTAGAGAAAGCATTTTATTTAAGGTACTATTTTAAAATAACACTTTTTTCTTGTATTGCTAAGGCTGTTTGGGCACTTGGTAATATTGCTGGTGATAATGCAGAATGCAGAGATTTTGTTTTGAACTGTGAAATACTTCCACCTCTTTTAGAGTAAGTACTTTATTTAAATTTATTATAACTAAATTATGACTCCTTTTGGAAAAGAAAGCTATATACTTCATTGTGGTTCTTCATTTACAATTAAGTTCTTCAGTAATATTTTAAAATTTTGCTTCTGGTTAGCCCTGTATGCAGTAGCCTAAAAGAAGGCAAAAACAGGAAACAATTTCAAAATATGTCATAACTACATTTTTCATGGTCTCTTAAAACGTACTCACGAGTGGTTTTTAGTTCCTTCATGTTTATTTGCTGTGTTAAAATAATTGTTCTACAGAACAAGGATATGTTGTTGTTTATAATATAACACAGCAAATATTTAATACTTGAATGATGAGATATTTAGGGTGTCAGTAGGTTTTTCTTTTTTATTTTCAAAGGTTTAGAGAAGAAAGATGAAAGAGACGTTTCTTTAGATTAGAATTTTACTTAAAATCAGTTACCAATCATAAAAAATATTTTACTGAAATAATAAAATAGTTTGAAAGGTAAGTGTCTTTATATGTGTAATTTGTCATTCACTAAAATGATCTTTGTTTAGACTAAATGCCAATGGCAAGTAATAAGAAAGAAATTTACATACCAGGTGGTTAGAAGGAAAGCTTTTACCCTTTATAATTTCTATTCCATTCTGCATCCTCGCCAGCTGAAGAATTAAATAGAATCAATTTTTAGATAGTAGTTTACGAAAGACATTTTTCTCCTTTAGAGCAACTAGCTTTCTGTGGACAGAAGTGATATCTTGGCATGACTTCATTAAACTAACATTAATTGGGCACCTACTTTACACATGCCATTGAACCATTCACTGCAAATTTCATTTACTGTGGGCTTACCCAAAGTTGATGTTCCATTGTCTTTGAGAATTTATCTGGATTATAAAAGAAAATACTAATTTAGAGTTCAATATCAAAGTCATTTTGAAGTCTGTACTATTGAAAACATCTCTTAAAATTTCTGAGATTTTACTGACCTGATTTTATGGTTTCCATATTCAGCACTTTATTTCTCTTTTAACTCCTGGTTCTCTAGCTCTAGGTCATTTTATTATTTGTTAATATCTCTGGTTGATAACTGTTTATGAAATAGTAAGCATTTCTTATGTATAATCCCTTTGAATATTTAAGGGACTTTTAAATAATAACTTAAGAAACCCAACAAAAAAGTAAGTCTTAATAGTAAATAAACAGTATAATTAGAAGTACTAGTTACACTAAATTTCAGAAAAGACTGTGAGAAGCTAGTTTCAGAGTTTCATTTTTATAAAATTTGATATTAGAAAGATTTGTTTAAAAATTGAGAGAAGTAATAAAAATGGAAATAAGTCAACTACCAGATAACCTTATTTAGTTGGACAAAATGAAGATTTGTTAGCTTAAAAATTATTATGAATTATGTACTCTGACATTGAAATTTACATTTAGCTAATGTGTAAGTAAATATAAAACCTTTTTATGTACCTGTCATTTGATTAATTCTGTTGAATGAATTTTATTAGTAATTCATTTTATTCTCAGTAAATGTGAATCTTTAAGTTTTATAGATTTCATGCTGAAACTTTATTATTTTAATTTAATTCAACTTTAACATATAATATAGCATACCTACACAAGAAGAGATTTACTTTCTCATAATAACGATATTGATACAGAAAAAGAACAATGTATATTAATAGTTGGCCAGCTTTAAGCCTTCAGGCTAAATCTGGCTTGCTTTCTACTTTTGTAAATTAAGTTTTTTTGAACAGAGCCAGATTCGATCACTTAATGTCTTGGTTGCTTTCCTGTTACATCAGCAGAGTTCAGTTGCAACAGAAAAAGAGTGCCTGCAAGACATGAAATATTTATTGAAAAAAAATTGTCAACCCCAATACACACAATTAGTCTAACTCTTATTTCTAAATGAATTGTATTTTTAGGAGAACTCAAATCTATTTATAGTGATACTTTTAGGACAGACTTTTTTTTCAATGTGGTGAAATATAAATAACATAAAACTAACCAATTGTATAGGTCAGTGGCATTCAGTACATTTGTAGTGTTGTACAAGTATCAGTATTCTCTAGTTCCAGAACCTTTTTACAACCACAAATAGAAACCCATTACCCATTAAGCAGTCATATCCCATTTCCCCATTGTCTTAGTTTTGGAAACCACAAGTATGCTTTCTGTTTCTGTGGATTTTCCTGTACTGGATTTGACATATAAATGGAATCATATAATATATGATGACCTTTTGTACTGACTTGTTCCTGTTAGTGTATTGTTTCCATATTGTTACATGTGTTTGTACTTTATTTTTATGGAAGATTAATATTCCATTATATGAGCATGTATTTTGTTTACCCATTTGTTAGTTGATGGGCATTTTGATCATTTGATTATTGACCACTATAAATAATTGTGCCATTGAGCATTTGTGTACAGTTTTTTTTTTTTTTTTTTGACAGGCAGAGTGGACAGTGAGAGAGAGAGACAGAGAGAAAGGTCTTCCTTTGCCGTTGGTTCACCCTCCAATGGCCGCCACGGCCGGCGCGCTGCGGCCGGCGCACCGCGCTGATCCGATGGCAGGAGCCAGGAGCCAGGTGCTTTTCCTGGTCTCCCATGGGGTGCAGGGCCCAAGCACCTGGGCTATCCTCCACTGCACTCCCGGGCCACAGCAGAGAGCTGGGTCGAGTAAGAGGGGCAACCGGGACAGAATCCGGCGCCCCAACCGGGACTAGAACCCAGTGTGCCGGCGCCGCTAGGCGGAGGATTAGCCTAGTGAGCCGCGGCGCCAGCCTACAGTTTTTTTTGAACACGGGTTTTCAAGTCTTGTGGGTATGTAGTACACCTAGAAGAAGAATTTGCATGTTTATCTGTTATCTTTGACATTTTTGTAACTACCAAACTATTTTCCTAAGCAACTCTGCCATCTTCAATTCCCATCTTTACATCCTCACCAAGAATTCATATCAACTATTATTTTGATTTAAATCATCCTAGAAGGTATAAGGTAGTGTCTCATTCTGCTTTCAAATGCTTTTCTCCAGTGACAGTGAACATCATTTCATGTGAGTGTTGGCCATTTGTATATCTCTTTTGGAGAAATGTCTATCAAATCCTTAAGTACTAAAAAATATCAAGGTGCACATAGACATCCACCTGTCCCAGCATGATTTGTTGGGGAGAGTCTTCTTTCCCAATTGAATGGTCTTGGTACCTTGTTGAAAATTATTTGATTGTAGATGTGTGAGTTTATTTCTAGATTTTTAATTCTATTCTATTGATTTATATTTGTACCAGTACCAAACTATTTTGATAGCCATAACTATCAAAAGAGATGTGAGTTTTCCAATTGCTGCTCGTCACGGGGCAGCAGGTCTGATAGAGCTCCTCAGGGCCAGCCTGGGGAGCTCAGGGGCCAAGTGGGATGAGTGTTGGCGGCAGAGGAACCACACCAGAGCTGGGAGATCAGTCAACGCCCAGGGTGCAGCAGGGTTCTCGACTTTATTGGGAGGGGAAGAGCTTTTATAGACACAGAAAGGGGGCTGTCCAGGGTACAAGGGAACCGAGCCAACCAGCTGAAAGGTAAGGCAGGACACGAGCCGGGCACACCCTCAAGGGCCTATCACAGCCGAGGACACATACTGTCCACGAATACGAAAGTCTCCTGTCAGGCTAGGTACCTCCCCCGGGGCCATCTTGGATTGTTGGAAACGCTGAGTCACTGGGATGTAGAAGTGCAGCAAACTTGAGCAAAGGCTTAGCGACCTTGTTGAGTGAAGGCTTAGCAACTTTGTTTCCTTTCCGATTGCAGCCCCCCACCCCGCCCCGCATCCAACTTACTCTTCAAGATTGACAGTTACAGACACTTGAGAGCCACTGTCTTCAAATAAATTAATTAAAAAAAAAAAAGTTACAGAGAGAAAAGGAGAAAGAAAGAGAACTTCCATACACTGGCTCATATCCCAAATAGCCGCCAGGGCCAAGGCTGGGCCTGGCCAAACCAGGAGCTTCATACAGGTCTTTTGTGGAAGTACAAGGACTAAGTACTTGGGCCATCTGCTACATTTCTCAGGCCGTTAGGGAGCTGGATTGGAAGTTGAGCAGCCAGGACTTGAACTGGTACCCACACGTGATGCTGACTTCACAGGTGGCAGCTTAACCCACTTTACCATAATGCCAGCCCTGGGCCATATCTTTTTGATAGAGATTCTATCAGGTGTGTAGATTTCCTTGGAAAATACTGTCTTAACAATATTGTCTTCCGTTCCATGCACATGAGATATTATTTATTTTGTTTAGATATTTCATTTTAACAACATTTTGTAGTTTTCAGTGTACAAGACTTATACCTTCTTGGTTATTTTTTTCTTTTTCAAAGTATAGATAGTCTCTGACATAGCATGATTTATTTAGCTTTCAATTTTTTGGAGTTTTTATTGGTATGAAAGTGATACAATTCAGGAGAAACTGTACTTGGAAATTTGAATTTTGACCTTTTCCTGGGCTAATGATATATGGTATGTTACTCTCTCATGATGCTGGGCAGCAGCAGGGAGCCACAGTTCCTGGCAGTCATGTTAATATGAGGTAAACAGCTGATACTCTGTAGTATACTATTGTTAAGTTATGATGTTCAGATGTATTAACTTTTTTAAAAAGAGATTTATTTTATTTGAAAGAGTTAGAGAGAGAGAGAGAGAGAGAGAGGGGGGTCTTCCATCCACTGGTTCACTCCCAAAATGACCACAAAGGCCATAGCTGAGCTGATCTGAAGCCAAGAGCCAGGAGCTTCTTCCAGGTCGCCCAAATGGGTGCAGGGGCCCAAGGACTTGGGCAGTCTTTAACTGCTTTCCTAGGCCATAGCAGAGAGCTTGATTGGAAGTGGAGCAGCTGGGACTCAAACTGGCTTCATATGGGATGCTAGCACAGGGCTTTAACCCGCTGCACCATTAGCCAGACCCACTAAATTCACTTTTGACTTAAAATATTTTTATTTTGCAATAAGCT